TAACAGTGAAGCTGTGGCTTTAATTCCTTTAGAAACAATGATGTTACCAGCTCCTTGTTGAAAAAGATAATGTAGCTTTTGAGCGATTAAGCTATTTTATTGATAAAATTGCGGGGCAGCGCAAAAAAGTTCGTGTGCGCGCGCGCAACGTGATCTGTGTGAGTGACTAAAATCGTGCGTGCGTGAGATACAGTAAAGACAGCGCATTAGTTTAGAACTCTTCCCAAAATTTTTAATTTTTTTTAAATGTAGAAATTGTGATAATTTGTGCAATGATAACCTACCAGCAATGTAAAGATTAGTTTTTAAATATATTAGTATGAGTACATTACAATATAAATGTATTAGAACGAGTACATTATTATTTATGGGCTTAAAAACAAGATGCAAACAATCAGAATATTGTACCTGGTGGGGAGTGCCCAATGTAAACATGAAACATATGCCATTACCTATATTGTACTGTGGGACAGTTATGGAGGCCCTTCATAATGCAGAGGTCAGCTGCCTGCTTTGCCAATAGTTAGAAATGGCACTACAGTATGCAGTGTTTAATAAACAGCTGTTTTACTAAATTATGCCTTGGTGCAGTCCTGTATCGTGATATGTATCGTATCGTGGCCTCTGTATCGTGGTATCGTATCGTGACTTTGCTGGTGATACACAGCCCTAACTATAATTACTTTATATTTTATTTAGATATATCTTATGTGTCAATGTAATCTGTGTGCCATTGTTCTGTTCGCCTCAATCTGATTGTAATGCAGCATTTCGGTTACAAAACCTTAATTTGGCTTTACTTCATTTGAGAGATAAACCTCATTTCTATTGTACTCAAGAGCAGAGAAAACATTTTGGAAGCACACGAGAGCATATAGAAAACAGAACAAGCAGCTGAAAGCTGGAAGATTTCCTTTTTAAAGTTTTCCATGCCAGAGTGTAAATATGGCTGGCACCCGGAAAACATTATCTTTTATCAGCCGACAGAGAGAGAGAAAGGGGGTGAGATAAAAAAGAAACATAGCGAAACAAAGAGAAAGTAAGAAACATGAGTGGTGGGGGCCAGTGTGAAGATGGTGTGTGATTTTTCCATTCTGAGCAACAGAAGAATAGAAGTGCTATAACGAAACACAAAGCGTTTCCTATAGGAAACATCATTACACACACACAATCAGCACAACGCAATCCTTGCTTCATTCAATTAACATTATACAGGAGAGACGGCCAGGAAGTTTAGTGCAGCTCTTTAGTCTAAAAAAAAATCTGATTTACCACAGGGATGTAAAGTCTCACTGATGGCCCTAAAATTCACAGTGCTCATTACACACACACACTCACACACACCCATACAACCTCAGCTGCGTGACTGGGTCAGATGCCTCCACTCACAAGACTATATTAGAAATGTTTCAGATTACTGTCTTAGTCACACAAACAGGCTCTCTCTAATTGACTTGTGATGAAAGAAGTCACTTAGTGTAGTGCTTCCCTTGTCAGCTGTTTGGACGGTAGTTTCTTTTTCTTTTCATCATAGTTTGGATTTTTAGTTTGCTTAGGCAGAAACCTGTGGAAGCAATTTGTTCATTAAACTTGTTCATTAAACACGTTGACCAATAGTGGGGCATGCTGTCACACTGTCGTTAAGCTGCCCATTAGAAGCTTGTAAGCAATATTTAAAACAATTAAGAAACATGAAAGAATTTATGAAACAAACATAGATAGCATACTAAATGATCTTCTTCTCTTTTTTTACCAAAAGAATATTGCAATTAATGAATTGCATACATTTATAACATTAAAAACACATATGACATCTTGACCCAACCTAATCGGACCTTTATGAAAAATAGGCCTTTTGTCAACATCCTTGTGTGACAACCTGCTCTCCCTTATTACTACAGACAGCTTTAGATATTATGCAAATTAGCAATGCGCTTTAACGAATTCATGTTTATGATATACAGCACCAAGACTCAAATGGATGCATGTTCATTATTACACGAAAAGAGAAAATGTGTCTTCTGTTAAGCTGACGTCTTTTTCCAATTTAGCTTAAAGTTCTCATTTGTGACGCAGCTATCCGTATTTAACATTAGCCATGGGAAGGGGAGGGAAATTCATGTTGTATGTCACGATGTTTGTGTTCTGTCCTCTAGCTATGTCAACACAGTACAATAAGTGGTTCAGTTTAACTGTGACTAATCAGAGCAAAGATGTTTTTGCTATGCATTTTGCACACATTTAATCAACAACAAGCATATCTGCACAAAACCAGCCTCCAAACCTCCGCAACAAGTATTTCCACTATGTCCTCTCCTCTCATGTTCTCATCCACCCACCTCACTGAGGCTCTGAAGCTGATCCTGCCTTACACTCATGGTCAAAATGGCGCCAGGGAGGTCCCACTTACTCATAGATGTTTTTGGATGGTGACTCACAAGGAAATTGGCCACAGAGTCCAAGAGATTTAATCATGAGTTCTTGTTTGTCTTCTCACTGCTGCTGCATAAAAGTTGCCATTTTACACTCAGAAAAAAAGGTACAAAAGCTGTTACTGTGGCAATACCCTTTCAAAAAGGTGAACTTTGTACCTTATTTACCCCTAAAGGGTGCATATAATCACCTTAAAGGTAGTGTCTAAATGGTACATATTTGTACCTTTTGAAAGGGTACCCCCCTGGTGACAGCTTTTTCCCCCTAGAGAGCGTATGAACACGTAGGTGTGCATGTGTGCGTGTTTCTCACTCATTTAAAGGGATAGTTGAAAAAATTTAAATTCTTCATTTACTCAACCTCACGTCGTTCCAAACATGTATGACTTTCTTTCTTCTGCAGAAGACGAAAGAAGATATTTTAAATAATGTTTCAATTATGATGAGTAAATGATGAAGAAATCGTCAGTTTTTGGTATCCCTTTAACAGAAATAAACAGTGCACAACAAATCGTATAAAAGTAAAAAAAAAAAGTTAAACATCAACGTTCATTGAGCAACTGTGTGTGTGTGT